CAAATATGTATGGATAATGTTTAAAAGATATTAATATTAATACAAGTAATGTATATTTGATGTAAATGTGACACATCACATTGTAAGTGGTATTATGAATGTTTTAAAAAGTAGTAACACACTCGGTCCTGAGGTTTTATTGGCATGGGAGAATTTTTCAAAAATAAGCCTTACCTTCAAAATAGTACTCCCTGTCCCACTAAAATTGTTATATCATTCCATTTTGGTTCATTCTATTAAGAATATCTCATACCAAATTTGATAAAATTTGTGTGGTCTTAGATCATTCTTATTTTATTCTTACTTTATCGATTCAATATGAACCACCTAAAATAATTTTTCTTAATAATCGTGTCACCTCTTCATATCTCATTCTTAGTGGGATGAGGGTAGTATATATTTTTATATTAATTTCAATTAGATGCATGTCTTACTTGCCTCTAAAATTTATAAAAGTGCTCAACTATATCAATTTTATGTCAGACGCGTATGAGAATTATCAATAATTTGAGTAGTGTATTAGTGTGTTAAACAATCACGAAGTGTGAAAAAATTAAACTTGACATCATTATTGTAACTCTTTAGATTTTTTTCTTTAAATAAAATTAATTTTATTTGGGTCCTTGTATAGAGACGGAACCTGGGCACAAGCCCCATTGCCCATGCTCAAGAACCGGGCATGTTATAATTTATAAACATGTGATTAACTCGTAAATGTAATGTTATTCATTCATACAAAAGTTAAATATTTTGTATAAATGATTTTATACCACATGTAAATTGTGGTTGCATTGTCAAATATTTAAGTAACATTGTACAAAATGTAAAGCACATATGTCAAATAATAAGTCTGATATATTATTCACTTGTACAGAAGTAATAAACTTGGTGTAAATGATTTGACAAAAGTGTAACAGAAATGTTCTTAAACAAGAGTAAAAACTTTTGGATTGTGTTTGGAAAGATATCCAATGAAAATTTGTGTGAATTTCAAAATAGATTTGTCATATTTTTATTGTCCAAAAAGAAGTAATTAATGACATATTGTGACAATATCAGGCTTCAAACGCGGCAGTGCTTACCATATTTTGCATTAATTACTCTTATTTAGCTAATAAAAACGTAATAATCATATTTTAGTATTCCAAAATGTTTTTACCCCTATATCGATAATTTTCCCAAAATGTAAACTGTGTAACAAATTAAAATATGTAAGAGTGGTTTGTTTTTATACGGAGTATAACTTATGCAACATAATAAACTATTAGATTTCAAATATAAACTCCAAAGAAAGTGTTTCACATTTGTTAAATAAAAAAAAAATTTTGTTTGAGATTAAAAGTGTTGCACATTTGTTAAATAGAAATACATTTTTTTGATTGAGATTAATAAACTTTAGTTGTTGATTGATAGGAAAAAAATCTTAAATTATATTCATTCATAATTTAACTTGAAGGTGAAAAAGAGTAAAATTATTGTTGCAATGAAGAATCATTCAATTGAATGAGAAAAAGGAAAAAAAGAAGGAAAAACAGAACAATCAATAATAAAGAAGAGCGAGTAACTATTGTTTTTAACATAAAACGTAGTCCATACATTGCGACAAGCATATCATGCATTCATGTGCGCGTGTAACGTGTTAAATTGTTAATCCGCTGAAAAATTGACACGGAGGATCATTTAACATAAACTCCTGATGTTATATTCAATATGCAAAGAACAGTAAACAACAAGTCAGGATGGCCGAGTGGTCTAAGGCGCCAGACTCAAGTTCTGGTTCTCGTGAGAGAGCGTGGGTTCAAATCCCACTTCTGACATTTTTTTTGTGTGAATTTTTTCGCGCTTATAGGGCTATTTTTGGCAGTAAAGAGTTATTTATTCCCGGGCAAAATCGGCAATTAATTCATTAATAAAATACTGTTAAAAAAATCCACCGTCGCTGGCAATACCACGTCGTTTGGTAACGAAGCTCCCCAACAAAGCGTGAATCTCAAATTGAAATTGACAATTTTTTTGGCATGCTATCCAATTACGGAGTAGGTCATTTTTTTTCAAAAAATTGGGAAATTGCGAAGGATACGGCGCCGTTTAGTAGCTGAAGTCCCGGCAATCCCACCTTAGAATTCTGAGATTGAACAACCAAAAACTATGAGCAACACTATATATAGCCCGTACATTTCAGAGGATCCACCACCGCTGAATACTCACTCTGGAAATTAAACAGTGTTGAAACGCAAGCAGCTGTTAAGATCCCGGAAGAGGTAATGGCTGCATCCTTTGTCCCGGCCATCAGCAAGGGAGGCGGCGGAAAATCGAACTCTGCTGGATTGGTAATGGAAGAGCTGGTGCCTGAAGCTTTTGCTCCGGCCATTAGCGACGGAGGCGGTGGTAAGACGCACAATGCTGATAACATCACTGAAGCGCTGGATTCTAAACCCCCTACTCCGCCCATTAGCAGCGGAGGCGGTGGCAAGATTCACCCTCCCGATAAGGTCCCCAAAGCGCTGGATTCTAAATCCATTACTCCGCCCATTAGGGGGGGAGACGACAGTAAGGTTCCAGAAGCGCTGATTTCTGAACTTATTGATCCGGACATTAGCGACGGAGGCGGTGGTAAGACACGCTGCTGATAAGGTCCCACAAGCGCTGGTGTCTCAAGTTATTGCTCCAGCCATTAGCAGCGGAGGCGGTGGCATAACGCACATTGTTAATCTTTAGCTATTGCTTATTCTTACACAGATTAGATCTGATCTAAAGAATCGTAATTATTATCATTTATCATCACTAGTGTGAACTTGTAAATTCATAATAAATCCGTAATAAATATTATAATTAAAAATATTACAATTAGTAATTTGTAAATTTTATACTTCGTACAATAAAATTTTTTTTATCATCAAAACAGGCGTCTATTCATATCAAAAGATTCAGGATCATTACATCAAGCAAAGGGAAAATAAAAATGACACCAACTGAAACTCCAACAACTACGACTGTAACTCTATGGTGAGACTTTGAGACGGTCACCCCTGAAAGAGCAACATGAATCGCTAACCATGTAGTGGGCTTGACACAGCCAAACTTGTTCCCATAGATCCAACCATACCCAATGACATAAAGAGAGGCTAAAAACTCAAACAAATTGTCAAAACCAACAATTATATAATATCTATATATTTCCCTGGTTGAAATATTTGTCAAAACTCCCCCTCTGCAACGTTTTATTCTATAACTTATTTTTAAAATATTATAAAATCCTACTACCTCCGTTCCGATGGACTTTGCCAAGTGCAAAGTAGGTGAGAACTAAGAATATTAAAAACTGTGTGGTTGAAATTTGTGCAGAGGGGAGAGAAATGTGCAGAACCACAAATTAGTTGCTTTAATGGGAAAATGACAAAATTTTTTGGAACAACCAAAAAGAGAAGTTGGTAAAGTCCAATGGGACGGAAGGGGTATTTAATATTTCATACGTATTAATGCATAGCCTACAAAATGATAAAATATAATAACATAAAATAAAACGTTGAAATAAAAATGAAATGTTAAATAAAATATTGATACAAAAACACAGATATAAATTATGTATACAAAGTCTAAAATTAAACTTATGTTTCGCATATATATTTTTTAATTTTTATAATTATATATATATTTTTTAATTTTTTCTTCATTTCTATTTTTTATTTTGGATTCATTACAATTCTGAGACTTTTTTAATAGACTAGGGATTACTTGATCGAACAACTGTGACGGGTTTAGGGACTTATTTGAGCTTTTAGTTTTAACTTCATATGCACATGTGGCAATCAGACGGGTGGCAGGGTGTTTACTTGGTAAAAAAACGAAATTTGAACCATTTTTTACTAGTTCAGACCTCAGGGTGCCCATTAGTCATTTTTAATTCAAGGATTGAATTGAGCTAACACGATCGGTACACAGATTTATTTGACCATTTTGCCATCGAAAGTATAAGATACAACTAATTTATTCTCAATGTTTTAATGATCAATGCCATGGTGGAGGGAAATTAAAGTCTTATTTGTTCTAAGTTTCTAACTTTAAACATTATATAAAGAAGATGCCAAACATATTGTAAAAAAACTTAATCAAGATATATATCCTTGAGCATGCTATCTCAAGGATATATAAAAACTTAATCAACATAGTTTTGGCATGTTATCTATCCTCAATTGAGCATATAATGGGGACTCGATATGAATATGAAGGTACATGATGTGAATTTTCTGATTTGATCTCAATAGAATAAGAATAAACAATAAGTAATAAGACTTTTCCTCCCTTTTCAATCAGGCTCCTTTTTCAAATAATCAGAAAATTGGAACACTGAATTGCAAAAGATACAGTGCCGTTTAGTAGCTGAAGTCCCCGGCAAATCGGCAATCCCACATTCCCACCTCTCAATTTTTCAGGTTGAAGCTGAACTAAGGCTGTTAACGAGCCGAGCCGAGATCAAACACCCAAAGCTCGAGTTCGGGTCGATAAGGAATTAGTGGTGGTCGGGTTCGAGTTCGAAGCTCGACGAGCTTTACAAATGAGGCTCATGTTCGGCAAGATAGACGTTCGATGTTCGAATCGAGCGCTCAATAAGCTCGATAAATATGCTCGAATTTAAAATTTTAGGTGGTGCTCGTTAATAGGCTCGTGCTCGAATGATTCGAAAAGTATTCACTTCGTCATTAATCATATTTAATATCATAAAACCATACTAATTATATTTAAAATTTGACATATATAAAAATTATATTTATAATTTTAGAGTGTTCGATAGGCTCGAGTTCTAATTGAGCCGAATACTACTATGTTCGAGCTTGGTTCCATTAATTTTTCGAATTTGAAACTCGGCTCGGGTTTGAGTTCGAAAGCTCATTAAGTTCGACTCGTTAGGTTCGAAACCGAGCTCTAACTCGAATAGTTCGATAAAAGATGTGTTCGTTAACGGCCCTAGACTGAACAACCAATTTAAAATAGGAGACATACGGGAAAGCAATACGACGACGTTAGATAACTAACTAACTAAACTCCCCGGCAAAACCCTAATACAGTAATACTATGAGTACTCTTCGTAACCCGTACATTTCGGAGGATCCACCGCCGCCGAATGCTGACGGCGGAAACGGCGTTGACACGCAAGCAGCTGTTAAGATCCCGGAAGAGCTAATGGCTGACTCCTTTGTCCCGGCCATTAGAGAGGGAGGCGGTGGTAAAACGAACTCTGCTGATATGGCAACGGAAGAGCTAGTGGCTGAAGCCATCGCTCCGGCCATTAGCGACGGCGGCGGTGGTAAGACGGACACCGCTGATAATTTCCCCGAAGCGCTGGTATCCGGAGCCATTGCTCCGGCCATCAGCAACGGGGGCGGTGGTAAGACGCACACTGCTGATAAGGTCCAGGAAGCGCGGGTGTCTGAATCTATTGCCCCGTCCATTAGCGACGGCTGTGGTGGTAAAACGAACACTGCTGATAACATCCCAGAAGAGCATGTTTCTGAAGCCGTTGCTCCGGCCATTAGCGACGGAGGCTGTGGTGAGAGACATACTGCTGATAAGATCCCAGAAAATTTAGTAGCTGACAAGACCCCGGAAGAGCTAGTGGCTAAAGCAATTGCTCCAGTAAAGAGGGAATATCTTCGCCCTGCCCCTCCAAGAAATTTTATCGACAGTAGCAGACACACAACTGGTGACCAAAAGGACAAGGATGCGGAGGCCAAGTCCAAGCCTCTACTAGATGTGAAAAAATCTAAGCGCCAACTCAAACGTGACCGTCTTGAGGTTACCCTCCCAAGAGTGTTAACAATGCCATTTCTTTGCTCCTTTCACACACGCATTTGAGATATGCAGCTAAATTTTTATCATTGCACATTATTATTGGGAGGATATACAAATCACATGAACTAGAAATAATAAACATATTCATGTTTGAATATAAATTTCATTTAAGTGTTACTCCCTCCATTCCTAAATGTATGTCCCAATTTTCTTTTCTAGATGTTCCGAAATACTTGTCTCACCTCCTTTTTTTTAATAAAAGAATATACCCAAAACAGCTTAAAGTGAGCAGTACTGCTTTAGTATCAAACCCCCCTGCAGGGACATATAATTGGGAACAGAGGGAGTATTAAGGGAGTGAACCCATACAATAGTCTCTAGGGATCATTTTTTATCTCGTTAGTACCTTTTTACTCAGCTGAGAGGTAACATGGTTCTTATTGAAAAAGTAAAATTGCGTGATTAAGATTTATTTAGTGAGAAATGTTGTACCAACATACACACTATTCTCCTAAAAAAATTATATATGTTGAGTATCCACATTGATTGTATACGAGGTTAGATTTTGGTATATAGGTGTGAGGCAAACCTCATCCCTTAGAGCGAGTTAGTTCAGGTTTAACGTGATATACAAATATGATCCGATGATGGTCTGTGGTACCACTGCTCACACACCAGTTAATGCTATCTTTGTTGGTTTAGGCCTATTTCTCCCCCTTATAGTTGCCCAGCCCAAGTGATGACCAGCCCAACTTGAGCTGATGGGTGTATTCTGTGTATCCTACATCAGTTGACTACTAGATTATAGTCTAGTATATAAGCATGAGGGGAGCAATATTATGTTAAACTTACAGAACTAAAGTTTTTTCAGAGTGTGTACATGTATGATGTATCTATGTATATGCATGTTCTATTCTTCCAAGTTTTTTTCTATGTTTAAATATTTTCTGAAGTTTGTCATTTTTACTAATCCTAGGAACGTAAATCTGCACTAAGCCTGTGCCCCGTAGTGGCAAAAGCAGGGAAGGTCAGTGCATGTGCTTACAATGATAGGTGCCGCTTTAGCCATGATTTGGAAGCTTTTATTGCTCAGGTAATTCTCAATCAAGAATCTTATTGTTGTTTGTGGTTTTAACTTGTACTGATATTGGTTGCCAATTGAATGTAGAAACCAGCTGATGTAGAGGGAACTTGCCCTTTCCTAGATACTGAAGGGCCATGTCCATACGGGTTGGCATGTAGATTTGGAGGTACACACAGAGATGCTCTGACCGAAGAAATTTCAAAAACTCATAGGAAGAACTCTGAATCAAATGTATTGAACAAGGAAACTCAAAAACTTTTGTGGAAAAACAAAGTGAAGTTTACCAAAGCTGACGCTACTCTCAAACGTCTTGGACTCACGGTCAGTAAACATATCAATTGACTTTATCACCCTCTAGGCAGTTTTCTAGAACAGCACAAGACTAATTCGGGGAAGGACAGGGTAATTATAGATGGGAAGTTGATAATTAAAGAAAATGGATATAAGCCTTTTAATAATTGTTTCGGTATATTTGAATCTCGGAAAATGCTGTGGAAAGGAAAAAGTGCTATGAAAAGTTATTTTCATTACAATAAAATAAGAACATTATTTTTGGATGGGACGAAAATTTTTCGGGGAGAGGGATAGAGTAATAAAAAAGCGGATCCCGGTGTACAAAGGCATCCCCGCAAGGCGAGGGTCCGGGGAAGGGTCCCGCCACAAGGGTGTATAAGGGGAAATCCTTCCCGTGTCAAATTTTTGACAAGAGACGGATCCCAAGACTTGAAGTTGTGACCTCTAGGTCACACAGAGGGATGGAGTAATAGAAATAGTCAAATAGATAAATAAATGAGTGACAGCTGTTTGTCACTCATTTGTTTTAGTAACAAAATTATTTGTTTAGTTCATTTTGCATAATGTATTGTGAAATACTAATACACGAAATCACATCTGAGTTTCATTCTTTCACATCAAGTCAATTTTGTAATGGTGGACATGCTATTAAAAAATTATTAAGAATATGACCTTACAATCATCATTCATCAGGAAATAGATAATTAGATTCTTGATAAGCAGCTAAACTAACATTCTTACATAATTAGACTATTCAATTGATAGCACCTTTGATCTAACAAGTAAAGATTGGCCCATAATTAAATGGGTCAAAGATCACCAAATAATAAAATAATTTCATATAAATGATGGATGATTAATGCACAAATGAATATTCTTCCCCTATCTCCCTCTTTCTTTTTCTGCTCAAAGCTCCTCTTCTGGATTCATTTCTTTCATTCCAATTGGTATGAATCACAAGTGTTGTATGGCTGTTTAAAATCACAACTTCATGCGCAAAAGCATAGCATCGAAGTTTTGCAGGATGCCTTTATCACTACCGGCTAAAAAGGAATACTTGATCCTTTTCACTTTACACATAATAAAGATAATAAAATACAGTTAACTAATACAGCTAATAACGTCTTAAAGTTATAAACATTTGTATTACTGGAGTGGAATAGCCCATGATTGAGGCTATTCCTTTCCGAATATATGTGTCTTATGACAGTATTAATGTTGGTATATAATCCACAAGTATGTTGTACGATTTACCCCGTTCAGCCTCTGCTGCTGTTATTTACTTTGTGGTACTGTAATAGCAGGGAAATATAAAAAACAATAAGTTCGCCAATAGAGAGGAAGATATTAAAACAACGAAGATAGGCTCTTCCACCTCCCATGACGATGAAGTTGCTGCTGATGCTACTAATGGATTGGAGAGATCTCTTTTGGTAACTGGAGAAGAAGATATGAATGAAGCTCATGCAATTGAAGATGCTCCACCTCCAAAGAAGGCTAAAACTTCAACTGATGAAACACCTATTTGTATGGATGCTAACAATGGTGTGTGAGTTGAGCATTTTCGTGTGGGGCTAGAAGCCATTTAGCTGTTTATTGATGACATGTGAAGCCTAGTTGCATGTTTTCAGCAGGTTCAAATGTTCATGAGAAGGATCTTGATGTGAGCCATGAAGAAGATCCATCTGAATCAACTATAGATCTTAATGCGGAGTCTGATAAAAGCCTTAAAGTTCAAGCACGTGAGAAGAAACTTATCGACTTCAGAGAGAAACTGTACCTTGCCCCTCTGACTACGGTTGGAAATCTACCATTCCGTAGGGTATGTAAGGTGCTCGGAGCTGATATAACTTGTGGTGAAATGGCAATGTGCACAAATCTTTTACAGGTGGGCTATTGTTTACAATTTTATTTGAATTGCATAGAATTGTCTGGAAACATATTTGGCAGCTAAAGAGAAAGTAATGATTGCCTTCTCCCATGTGTGTAGGGCCAAGCATCAGAATGGGCACTACTAAGGCGTCACTCATCTGAAGACATTTTTGGTGTTCAAATATGTGGGCCATATCCAGACACAGTTGCAAGAACTGTTGATCTTATTGAACAGCAGTGCTCAGTGGACTTTATTGATATTAACATGGGATGCCCAATTGATATTGTGGTTAACAAGGGTGCTGGATCAGCTCTCCTTACAAAACCAATGCGAATGAAAAGTGTAATACAGGCAGCTTCGGGAACTGTTGATATACCAATAACCGTCAAGGTAGCTTGTTGCTTTACTAGAGTCAATTATACTCTTTTCCCTTGCCTGGATTATCAGAAGGGTTTCTTAGATCCTCTGTGACACCCTTTCTGATGCTTTGTAGGTACGGACAGGTTATTTTGAGGGTAAGAACCGCATTGATTCCCTCATTGCAGATATGGGAAACTGGGGAGCTACTGCTGTTACTATACATGGTCGATCACGCCAACAACGTTATAGCAAGCTTGCTGATTGGGGATACATCTACCAGTGTGCAAAAAGGGCCCCGAAATCATTGCAAGTATTCGGAAACGGTGATGTGTTTTCGTATGTAGACTGGAATAAACACAAAAGTGATTGCCCTGAGCTTTCTACATGTATGATTGCCCGAGGTGCACTAATAAAGGTAATTAATTTTTGTAGGGAATATTATTTTGCATCACTAGTCATGTGTATGAGGACACTACCATTAGCAGTGGTTGTAGTTCTATCGGTTTACGACTTAGATGCCGTTTGGCAACAATGTTTTTCGGCTTATCAGCCAACTTTTTCACCAAACATGAAGTTTTTGCTTTCGCGCGCTGAATTGTGTAATAAGCAGAAAAAGTAAGGTTGAAGTTACTTTTCTGGCTGTATTGGCTGAAGTTACTGTAGATAGCCATTTTAGCTATTTTCACATGTAACTTTTGCTTTATTTTATTAATAAAATATATTTTAAAAATATTTTTTTCTTAAATCAGCAGAATCAGCCAATGCAGCCACTTCAGCCAACTTCATAAATTTCAGCAGAATCAGCCAAATTAGCCCATTTTCATGCTACCAAACGGGCTCTTAAGATAATTGTCAAAGGAATGGGCAATATGAACATGAGAGCGACGAATAATAGTGCTCCTGTCAGGCACAAGCTTACGTCCTTTTGGCCATTATATTGCTTCAACAATTCAATTTTTTCCCCTTTCCCATCAAATATTGATTTCAACGTTAGATCTTCAATTTGTTCGAAGATAGACACAAGAAACTCAATTTCCATTTTCAGACTTTATATAACGTTTAAGATTAATACACCCTTAAAAATGGTTTTATCTTTGGTGAAATCGAATTTTTAACATAATGCAATGGTTTAAGTTAATACTTGGTGCTAATGGATGAAAAAAGTTTATCCAAACAAAGTGCGTTTGATGGGATTTCCCTCAGACACCTCCGAGGAGAATTCTTCTCTGTATGTGTGTCTTTATGTATGAATATATAAACATGTTTTTACTTTTGCAGCCTTGGATATTCACGGAAATCAAGGAACAGAGGCACTGGGATATTAGTTCTGGGGAACGACTGGATATCTTCAAGGATTATGTGCGTTTTGGCCTTCAACACTGGGGTTCTGAC